AGAGCAACCCACAGGCCCTAGGTCCCTGGATCCTTTTCCCTTCTAGTGTAAGCGTCCCATAGATCCTATCTGCGGGAATTTCTACGATTAAATGACAAACAACACGTCAAATCGAGAAATGCAGTAATTTCCGCGTGTAAAATGCATAATGCAATGAGTAGAGATACGCGAGGAGCACTACTAACAGACAAGCGCTCATCTTGGCATGCATCCCAAACTTCCTGATGTGCGCCCGTGCGCGCGCGGCTACGGATTAAACCGTCAGAATATATTAGCGGATTAGATCAGCGAATATTTTCATTTCGGATGCGTTATGATCATCCCAAAAGTCACATAAAAATAAATATGTATTACAATCTTATTACTGTAAAAGTAACAGTATCTATATATATAAAATTTGCGTGTCACAGTGTTTGTTTCCATACTCCTCCGAAACGGCTTTACCGATTTTTACCAAATTTTAAATGCGTATGCAGTAGGTCTGAGAATCGGCTAACATCTATTTTTCATACCCCTAAGTGATAAGGGTTGTTCACCCTTAACTTTTTTTTAAAATTTTGGACAAATTCTTTTGTTTTTATTTTTTTTATAATGTGCAATAAAAAATACATACAACCCTAAATTTTTAGTTTTTTATCACCTACCCCTATTTCTTTATAGCCATTTTAGTAATTTAATCATTTTTCATCCCGCTCAAAGAAAATTTTTATATGCGTATTCAGTAGGTCTGAGAATCGGTAACTTCAAATCTCTAAGTGATAAGGGTTGTTCACCCTTAATTTTTTTTAAATTTTGGTCGAAATTTTTTGTTTTTATTTTTTTAATGTGGCATTAAAATATACATACAACCCTAAATTTTTGGTTTCTTATCACCAACCCCTATTTTTTATAATAAGTAAGTTACTTTTTGTCTACACTAAAATTTATCTAGAAACTTGAAATAATTTATATGGCAAAACAACGTTTGCCCGGTTATCTAGTACCTATATAAATATGTAAATATATAATTTAGAAATAAAATTGATGTTTTAAGGTAAAACACGTGTTTGAACTCTATAATTTTTCAATTGTCATGTTTGGACAAATCTATTTCCACATATCCGTAGTACCCAAGCTTGAATAAGAAAACAGCCCAACAAGTCATGAAATACCTAATCCCCAATAATGACAGCACGATATCCAGCAATGCCACAAACATCCCAGCTATAATTTCACTGCCAATTACGAATTACACAAATCCGTTTCTAGCCACTTCAATAAACTCGCCGACAATGCATGCTCGTTATTAAATTCACTCATTGCATACCAACGTGTTACGTATATTGTGCATCGTTATGAATCATTCCCTATTCTAAAGGTTGAATGTAGTTTAATTCAATGCATTACAGCAAATCGATATCATCAAACACGAAAACAACATACGACTAGAATGATATAATGTATTCAAGTATAGTTCATGAGAATATGTTGTGTGCGTGAGTGTTGTAGTGGTCAATGTAGTTGTTTGGGTTTTTGTTAATAATTTCGTTTTCCTCGTTGTTTTCACTTTCACGTTATCCGCCCAGCCATCAAGCGCTTTCCAACATTTAGTCTGGATCGCAGCTGTTTGATTTCAATTATTCATAATGACGAGCAAAAGTAGTTTCAATAGAATTTCTGGACGGTGCGCAGTGCAGGATGTTATAGTCTTGCACGCTTTTCGATGGAAACAGTTTCAAGGCAAACTGGAATAAATTGTATTAAAAAATGTACAATGTGAACGAATTTATACAATAGTATGATCGCTAATACTTGATAAATTGAATTTTACATTTATTATATTATATTGTTGAAGTACATTCATTATTCTAAAATGAATATGATTTATTTCGCGCACCTTCCCAATTGTGATATTGACTTTGGTCAAATTTAGTAGCAATATAGGTTGGCTCATAAAATCTAAACATATCGAAATGCAACGCCAAAATTAGTTCGCGCGAGTTTTAGGTGAAATTAAATTAGATTATGTATTGGCTTGCTCTTAAAGCGCACACAAATCTACATGCATACATGCCCGACGTGTGAGTGTGCGCGCTGAGCTATTTTTAGCACGACACAAATCGATTTTAAATCTAATAATAATAATAAACGTAACACACGGAGAACAGAGAAGGCAGCAGGGTCTCCAGCTAGCAAGCTCCACCTCCAACGCGCGTCGCCACCGACGACGACGATCATGCGAAAGAGGATGTAATTGCAAATGCAATCGTTGGCACGCTCGCAACAAGCAAGAGTCGCGAGCGAAGGTGGAGACACGACGCAAACGCAATTGCAAACACATCATCGGTACCAATCCAGTAAGTAAGTAAGTACTTGCTACCTCATACAAACAAGCGCTTACATGACGACGAAAGTAGTTGTTGTATGTATGTAGTAGTGTATTACGTATGCACCGAACGACGCGCGATTCGCGGATAAAAATAATTCGCGATATATATTTTCGCACATTTTTTACTGGCGATTCGCGCACAGCTGTACGGCTGTTGCGCACAGTTGGCGAAAAATCGTGGGCGTTATGCGCTTGCGGCTCGTATCCTCAAACGAATAGTGCGGCTAGTGAATGAAGATGAATCAATTCTATCGTGCGTAATGTGCACATAAACATGCATCAAAATACATCCGTTTCAGATTAATTCATCATTTTGATTCACGAAATGTTATGCATAAAATTGCGGTGAATTGCATTTATATCACAAACATTGTATCATTAAATGTGATTTTTCTTTAAAAATAAGAAAAATAATTGTCATAAGTAATGTATAGAAATATAGAGCATAATACAGATAGATTCAGCGTTTTAAAATAATTAGAAAAATTAACCTTATTTATAGACGTTATGTTTAATTTACAAAAACTATAGCTGCAAGACTTCGCACAGAAGTAATTTATTAATGAAGAATATTAGAAATGCCCTTGAACGCATACTCATATTTGGAGAAGTTTTGTATGCGAATATAATGCAAATAAATGCATCTTAGCGCCATCTGGCTTCTAAATTATAACTTTGATTTAAGAAGGCCTTCGGATGTCCTTCTTCAAGTTCGTATCTATCTCAATATCAAACTTGTTTCAGTGGTTTAGATATGAAAAGAAAACGTGGAGACAAATATATGAGTTCATACCTATATACTTTTGCAATTATAAAATATAATTTTAAATGCACAACGCTCTGTCATCTCGTTAATTTCCACATCATTATATTCGATCCCCCTCGTTGACTATTTATATTCATTAATGCGTATTGTACAAACCGCGAAAGTGCGTGTAGATGCAGTCGACGTTGATAACTTTATTGTATTTCAATTATTTTAATTGAAATCATTTGCTGGTGCACAATGCAGTCTAAGCAGCAGTAATTTTTCATTCACATATAATTACAAACTCATTCAAATCAAACTAATAATAATTTAATAATTAATTTCGAAGCCAATACATTTTAAAAGCCACACATATAACACAAATCGAATGGTACGTACACTTATAAAATAAGGTAAAAACCACAACAATATATTATGGATGTAAATTAATTATTTAAGTATTGAAATGTTCCAACTGTTGCCATACGCAATACCATGACAAGCTCAAGTGTAAAAACAAATATATGCAAATTTCAATGTGACTTATTTATTATTGATTACCTGTTACTCAAACTTTCACTATCATCGGTAGTTATGTTCTAAATTATGTGCATATTTGGATGACAAAGTTTTCGCATCATAACGAGCGTCAAAAAAAACGAATTAATGGTGCGCCCGTGCCGCGCGCGCGGTTGCAACTATAATTAAACTTATCTTATCGCGAAATTTATATTTAGAAAGCCAAACCGTGCACAAATTCTACCCAAAACTACGGAAAAATGATACGAAATATAAATCACAATCATGACAAAATGATCACAAAGTAAACTAGTAAATAAACCATTTATGTCTCCAAAACAATAATAATTAAAACGACGCAAACTTTTAAAAAGCAAAATAAAAGTGCGATATTGAAACGAATTTATGCAGATATAGGTGCGTAATGGTAGCCGCTGATGGCGTATTAGTAGATATCGTTTGTTTACTCAAAGCGCTAAATGCATACGAAATATTCCATATTCCAAATGTGGCGCCGCGGTGATAATCGTTATCGACAATTCGTCGACCGTTATCGACATGGAGCGGCTGGCGGGGCGCACTTTTGCGACCGCCGCCGAGGACGCCAATCGAGGCATGACATTTATGCTAAACACGTGCACGATTTAAATTTAAGCGCGCGTTCGCGCGGCATTCCACATGCACCATGCGCGAATTGAAAATAGGATATTCGTCTAATGCGGAATCGAGGAGCCGCACGACTGCAGCCGTCGCTTGTTTTGCTGGTTTGCGAACCAGCTATTTATACTTTAAATCGATACGAAAATACTGGAGCATAACTTTCTCTGAGGCAACAAACTTTATTATCGCCCGCAACCTACCCTGGACATCTACAAGGACAGCATATTTTGAATTGAAATCCTTCTATTTACTTAAAGCAAATAATAACATGCTGATCGATTAAGCGCGTAAAAATTGCCGACGAATACGCGATCGTTCGACCTCCCGACTGCCTGTTGGTACGTGACAAAAAGAATAGAGTCGAATCAGCTGATTACGAGCGGAGCGCCTACGTCATTCGCAGAGTACATTGGCCGAGCATGCGGCTCTCCACTCTCTTCGAGTTCAAACCAGCGAACGCAGCCGCATAAAACAGTTCAAAACAACAAACAAATAAACAACAAGTGGAACCGAGTTGCGCTCGGATATACAATTGCACGACGACGATATTTCAGTCGGGATGGCCAAAAGGGGAGCCTAAATGCCTCGACTATCGAAAGGGCGCGCACTTTAAACCTGACCTAGCTTCACCCAGTCGAGAATGCGATGTGCACGATGCGCCACTTGTTTCCACAACAAACATCGAAAAGCCTTGGTTTTACTCACCAGTAGTTGTCCTGTGTCTGATTGAGATTGGGTTTCGAGTTGCCTGAGGCGCGCTGCCGGAGGAACGTCTGCAGTTTTTGCTTCACCTCAGTGGATGCAACTGCGCTCTCCTCGTGTTTGTCCTTGCGGCGCAGCGCCTCCAGCTGTTCGCGATGCCGCTGCTCCTGCAGCTGCTTCTGCTGGTCCCAGAACTCTTTGAGGTGCAGTCGCAGTTGCTGTGCGTGCTGCTCGGCAAGCTGCTGCTGCTGGCGCTGGAAATGCTCGAGCAAGATCTGATGCTGAATCTGGTGCTGCTTCTTCAGCTGCAGGATCTGCTGCTCGAGCAGGCGCTCGGGCGCGTCACGCTGCTCGGCCATGGTTGTTGTTTGAGGGATAGGTGTTGGTGTTGGTGGTCCCGGGGCGCAGCGTCCTACATCACGGCCGGCCGGGGCCGCGCGCGCTGGAGGAAGCAAACTCTCGAGTTCCGTTTGCTCGCACAATACACACGCGCACCGCTCCTCACGACGCCGCACAAAATGGCAGCGCGTCGACGTCGACGACGGTCGTCCCGATTAATTCTCTAATTGCGCGTGAGGTCATGTCGCTCGGACGAGTCGGCTGGCGGGACTGACTGACTGGTGCGGGCGCAGGCGGCGGCGCGAGTGCAGCCTCGGTGGCGCCGCACGATCCCACTTGCGGCACACGCGTACGGTAGTCCTGCCGCTCCCGTTGGGGGCTGGTCGTCGGCGTCGCGTACCCGCTATTCCTCACTCGCACCTCGCGTTGTTTTCTTCACTGAAGGTGGCGGCAGACACGCAGTCAGGCACACCGCGCAGGCACACGCGAACAACTGTCAGAGTGCGGGCAGTGCGGCCCGTGCTAGCGAAGCGCTCCACGCCGTGTGTCCACATCCACACGGCCGCACGCCAGCGCGGCCTGTAGCAGGAACGCGTTCGACGTTGCCACCAATGTTACACGCAACACATTACCATCATAACACTCGGCGCAACAACATACCCAATTTCCTGCTGGCGTACGATCATATGCAACCAGCTGTACGCAAAAGCAAATCAATTCGCGTTAAATTAAGCACTACGTTACACTACGTCATATTAAACTTTATGTTTTGTTTGTTTTCCAGTTAGGTGGGGCGAAACGAAGCAACGGTACAAGATTAACACGTCCAGCAGGCGCGGGAACAGGAGAGAACTAGTCACGTGTTGTGTTCTCAGCGCACATGCAACAGATATGTTATTATCGGTGGACGGCGCGCAGAGCAGGCAACGTCGCCCGGAATGTGAAAACGCCAAGGTTGCGCTCGCCGTGATAAAAATAGAAAATCTTTATTATAAATAAATTTACGAAACTCATCTCGCACTCGTTCTTCTTCCACTCCAATACACATCTAACACTAATAAATCAAAAATTTCAAGTCAGTATAGATTCCACATCACTGATTGAAAGCTAGTGTTATGCCTAAACTTTTCAAAAGTTTATGAGAAGATTTGCAATCCGCGCTCCAGCGGCGCGCGCCGAGATTATTTTAGTCCGCGAGTCGGCCACTTGTTTTAATTATGTAGGAGAGGCAAATATAGAATGGCGATATAAATACCACGCGTCCTACTCATACATACATCGACGCATCGCGACGCCTGCTTGCCTGCCATCCCAGAGCAGAGAGCGTGTAGTGTAACTCCGTGCAGCTATAAGTACCGCGCTTGGGACACTAAAAACTCCATCGCACATCTAAATATAAAAATAATGCCTATCTAAACGCATAAAGCACAAACTATAATTAGATCCACGCGCAAATTTAGCTGCACCAAGTCAAAGAGTTAATAATAAACCCAACAAAGAAGACTTGGGCAGCTTGTATTACAGAAATAAACCATAATGCTTTAAAGTTAAAGATAATTTTCTAAGTTTACTTATTCATAAGAAGTCGTAGCTTTTTTCCAAACTCATTCCTCTGTACCAACCGTAATTTGTCTCAATACAGCATAATCAGCATCTTTATACTGAATCGAATCCAAGCGTCGAACGAAGGGCACAATGTTCCTTACCGGTATGCGGACGTACTTATACTTGAGCGCTTGCTGACACCAAATCGTTAAGTATTTGACAAAGTAAACGTTAACATTCAAATTGCGGCAGTGCAGACGGATAGCGGATATATTGATAAGACTTGCAACGCACTCCTCATAGGTCTCCAGCAAAGTCACTACCAGGTTGTAAACGGCATCTCCTACAATACCATCTTTAAAAGTGAGTACCTCCATCATGTTGTGATACAGGCCGAGTTGCCGCCCCTGCACTGAGATGAGCCGGTGCTCACCATACGCCGGATTCAAAATATATTGAAACAAACGCACGGCGCACAGAATCAACTTGCTATCTTCGTGTAGTGGTACGGGTTCAATTATGATGTTTTCTGCCAATGCAATTTTCATGTGCACCTAATAACGTAGAAAAATTATTAAACTACTAATTTACGCCAATTGCATTTTGCATACTTGTGTGTTAGCTATTAACAATAAAAACTGATACGCGTTGCACGCATCTTTAGGGCTTGAACTCTTTGTCGCAGCAATGACCACTTTTACCAACTTCCCAATTACAAAACACTCCGCGTATTCGGTCCTGCTAAGCTGCCAGCATGTATTGTGCAGATGTACTAGAATCTTATGCCTAGTGCATTCCAAGATACCAATTTTCTCATCGGTAATGATGTTGATCAAGCGATGCACAATCGCACGGATGATCCCTAGCACGTTCTTGAATTGCGGGTTTTCCGCTTTACATAAGGTCATCTCTTGTGGACTGCCTCTCATGATGCAATCCAGTGTGTTTACAGTAAGATTTTGGCGTAACAACAAGTGGGTTAGTATAGCTCTAGAATTGGGAGTGCCCAGAAGAAACAGTTGTACTGCATGATCTTTTATTAGCACATCATCCTCATTGCAGACCACATCTAACATGATTTTTTGCTGCTCAGTTTCTTTTAGACATTTGAGAAGAACACCTAAGACTGCCTCGTCTTTTTGTTTGATCCACATGGTAACGACGCGCCACTTTAAAATTCTACTTCCGTATTTAATCACCCAGAGAATTTGGGCAATGTGGTAAGTAAGATAGTGTTCAAGATCATCTGAATGTTGCAGAGATAATAGCAATTCGTTCTGAAATTTCCATTCGGCCGTGGTTAATTCCAACCCCACACAGGCGGCAAATAGAAGATAGACTGATTTCAGTACTGCAGGGTTAGTTGGTAATTTCTGAGCATACAGCTTCAGAATAAACGTAAGAAGTTGTTTCTTGTCACACTTCACACTATTAAAATTTACATTATACTAGGTTCAGTACTTATCAATATGCAGACTTACTCGGTATAAACCACCTCAAAAAAATGCACAATCAAATCAAAATCGGTACGGCCATCTTCAGGAACAGTATTCATCAGGAACGGCTTATCCAAGTTTCTAATTATTGCTAAAAGACTCCTTTCCTTTGTGGAATTCCACGGAGTGTTCTCAAACAGTACACTTATCTGATGATAGAAAAGTTCGTGCATTAACTTAAGATTGTCGTCAGTGAGAAAAAATTGCGCAAGATTTTTCGGAAAGTTCGTTTCGGCGAGTGCCACAGAAATACGTAATCGGATTGTTTTGGCTGTACATTTTGCATAAATATCTTTTACGCACACCAATATTTGTTTTGTCATTGCTTCTTTACACTGAAATAAACAATAGAATGTTTCAGGCGTGCTTATATCCCGCTGCACACATTTTACTTACCTTAGTGACTATTTTTATCATTTTTATTAAGTAACGTATAACGTCTTGGTAATTAGTAAGGTCATCAGATGGGATATTACTACAAAACAATATGTATCAAAGCAAAACACGTCGTTTAAATTGTTACTATAGATAGATGTTTAGCAAGAGAAATTTACGAATAATGAAAATTGGAAATGTGTAAAATAATAGTAAAACTAGGGTAATGGACATCCGAACATTGGTACTTACCAAAGTAGAGCACGCGCCAATGTTAAGCGAACTTCATTATCTGAGCGATGAGCAACCTTCCAAATTCCAGCGCATAATTCCTCGAAATGTTCTTCCTTCACAGGGCAACAATCGATATAATACGCAAAAGTGATAGCTGCCAATCTTAACTCAACATTCATCACAGTGGGATGATGTGCGACGGCGTGAAGAGTTTTCATTAACAATGCGCATTCGCATTTTACGCCCAGTGCTACAGCCCTATACGCAATTATGGATTGATTAATTTTTAACTCGTAACCATATCATAAAATGATAGTAGGCTGATCACGTGTCAATCCATGTTACTTTGTTTACAAACAAAAAGTTGAAACGTAGGCTAGTAGAACGCCATAGATACGATCACAGAAAAAATGATTATTTGAAAAGATAAAAATTTTGTTATTGCGGCGCACAAGTTTTAAATAAATAATTTTGGATTAGGAGCTTATTTAAAATTTACCTCCGCATGGCGCCCAGTAATTCCGTCAATACTTTCACCAAGATCTCGAAATCACAATCATCACTGTTGATGTGAAATGCAATAATTTGAGAATAAAATCTCATAATAGTGGGCAGATGCTCTTGAACTTCGTCGTGTTTTACAAATTCCGTAAATAGAGCGCAGAGTTGGCTGAAAGTTTCAAAACGCAATTTTAAATTATAATTTCTGTTCTTCTTCAAAATTGAAACAAATACGTGCACAAATAGGTACTTTTTGTTTTGAAATTAGTTTGCACTTACCTGATAACCTCAACGTTCAACGGCAACACTTCGGCAAGTTGATGGAAAGGAAAACGCAACATCAAGTTACTAGCATAGTTTGGTTTATCAGCTAATACGAAATTCACTTTTCGCAAAGATTCAACTTGCAAATCGTACGACCCCATTACAAAGTATTTGAATGCGGTGCACACGATGATCAACAGGAGAATGAGATGACAATGCAAGTAACAGTCGAATTCACAAACAAGTGTTGTGCATCCACGGCAACCCTCGATAGTATCCATGGCAACCGCAACTTAGGTAGAAGCAAAGCAACGCACACGCGATTTTTCTAACGCTCACATTTATATACAAAAGGTTTAAGTGAATTTCATAATATTCAGTATTTCAATTTTAATTAATATCATCTTTTATATAATACTGCATACTTGTTCTCAAAATAAAATCGAAGCAAGCGTAAAACAAACGAAACAAAAAATAAAACAACGAAAAATACAGTAAATACGTAATAATGTATTGTTTTCTTTTTGTTCTCTTGTCAATATTATCAAGTTTGTGCTTTTACAATAAACGTAAAATATTCATATTACTCTTCTTCTTATGCTTATTATAGGTATTATCATATTGTATTTAACATAAAATGGATCGTAGATCTTAATAATAAGTTTCTAGTTTAGTTGTAATGTTTAAATGTACTTGCATGTTATGTTAATGTCGGTTATTGTATGTGTGCGTGTGTTGTGTGTGAGTAAACGATTCTCTCAGTATTTGTACACGAAAAAAGGTTTAAAAAAACTTGAGACTAGAGCGGGCCTGCTGAGTTTTGAATCAAAAAATGAAATTGCCGTTTATTTTCGATCACGGTCCATGCAAGAGAGCAATCAATACATTGGCAGAAATATTGAAATCGTTGTCGAGGGAAACATGGGGAGAAATTGGAAATATTCGAGATATGTATGTACTTACTTAGTTTATGTTTAATTACGGCTAAATTAAATCATGATTGAGAGCTGCGTAGTCAAGTAAATTACGTGTCATTAAAACTTTAAAAGAGTCACGAATTGAATCAAAATTAATGCATGTACAGAAATGTATTCGCAAACATGTTGCGCGCAACTGCTTCGACATTAATTTTGATTCGTTGATTCCCGATTGTTTAACATGAAAATGAAGACAACAACGGTCAGCTAGCTTTGTTACATTTGTTACGCATATAACTTGTCCCTAACAAGTGTGCCTGACACTACAGTACTGTATCTAAGTATGAAAATCTTTAGTCAAAACATGCATCGATTAAAATGAAGTAGATTTGGCATTGGTTTTAGTTGAACTTCAAAAGTCAACAACATTCTGTGATCAAAAATCGTCCACATCCGCCGAACTCCTTCCTCTTGTGTGGCAATGTGAATAACTCACATTTAGATTCGAGATTCAATATTCGCACTGTTTTTTTTTTCTTTCTATCTTTGTTTCTTATTGATATTGAGATATCAATGCACTAAATATGTAAATCATCTTTGATACCTATAGCTAGTATACGACATATAAAAATAATAATAATCGTTTAAAAAAAATCAGTGCATACGACATACTTATCAATTCATATCGTCATTAATTACATGCGTTATTCTGCGTTTGTTCAGCCAGTTTGCTCGATATCCAAGAGTCAACTAAATCGAACTACAAACTTTAATCGCAATCATGAATATGTACAAACTATCAATAATTAGTAATTATTACTTCTCTCAAACTAGACTCCTTCAATACATCTCGAACTATTTTGTTTAGTTAATTTGTTGCTTGGTTTGTTCTCTTTATTGTTCGATAAATCATCATTAAACTACTATGTCCCTAACTTATTAGAGTCGGCAAAAACTAACGCTAAACTTAAACTAACCAGAATAATATAATTAAACAATATTAAACGTATTTCGAGCGACTTTAGCGTATTGAGAAAGTCAAATAATGTAATAAATATATAAACCAACAAAATTTGAAGAAAATCATTCGAAATCAACTTTTGTGCTCGCATAACATGTTGCAACCTGCATTTGTTTGTTAATACTAATCTACTAATGTATGTTTTTAACATAAATCCTAAATTGTGATGCACTTGGTAGAATTCTCAATGCGAGAAAAATGGGGAGGGCAAATCTACTCAGCTATGTTTACAATATTTGTGTGATAAGTTTCCGTACTCGTACTGCTTTCATATAATGAATATTTTTATCTATCGTTAATTTATCAGTTATCTCACTGTTCGTGTTATGCGCTGTGATTCCGTCACTCGCTTTTACCGCTTCTTACTTCCTGCATGTTTATAGTTTAAGAAATATGACACATTTTCTTCGTTTACGAACTAAGATATTTAAATATAATATTTATATATGTATATCAATATGAATATCAATTATAGAGTCAGACCGTGACGCAAATTTGAATTTCGTTTAGTTTCGTCTTCATTTGTTTTAAATTCTGTAATGTTTTTATGCTTTTGTCATGCGTTTCTTTCGCGCGGCGCTTAAGCGCGCCTGCTTGTGTTTAAGACTTGTAATTGTTAGAAATATATAGAGAGAGCTGAAGGAATATCACAAGGGTACGTTAGTGAGTTAAACAGCTCTTTGGCTACGTACATGTACATCGTGTGAGTATTTTTCTTGTTTGTTTCATTTTTACTTCAATTATAGGCCGTCGCGAGAGCTGCCGATATGTCTCCTTTTCAATATGGTGCGAATCGGTTGTATCCACTCCTATACACAGCGGCCTAAAAATAAAACAAGGCATTAGTAAAAATAATCATCGTGATAAGATAATATTATATTTTTAGCGTTGAAATATTGAAGTTTTATGCGCATGCTATGTTGCATAAATTATGCATGTTTAACAACCGAAAAGAAGTAAGAATGAATCGTGTCTTATCTTAAATCTAAACTTTTTTTTACATTCTTCGAGTTAAATTAAAGCTAACTAAACGATTTATAAACGAATTGCTAATCGAATTATTCGAAATATCACAGGTACGGTGTCCTGACGTAGGCAACCAATGTAACTATTAGAAAAAAAATTGAGCGCATCCAACTAGTGAAAATGCCGTAATTTTACTTCTACTAATTCTAAGTTGATCATTTGTGATATTGAACTAGATATTGATTAAAAATTATACTTAATACGTACCAACTTAATCAAAAATAAACCAAAACATAAACACTGTTGCCCTATTTTCGATTAATTCAATAACTCAAATATGATTCAGTTCGCTAAGTTTGAATAGAAATGTTTGAAATTTCTTACCCCATAGCCTGCCATTGGTCCAATACCGTGACCCAGGTACGGCTCGTAGTCGCGGCCGTAGCCGGCAACGGTCGCATAGCCAGCCACCGGCTGCGCCGCCGCCGCTGCCCCATATCGGGCGGCGACTGCCGTGTAGGTGGCTGCCGCCGCGTAGGTGGCCTGTTGGGCAGTCGACAGAGGTGTTTTTAGTAGCGGTGCGGCTGCCGCTGCGGCCTAAAACAAAACCGAGCCATGCACACTTAGAGGCCATGCCACATCGAAAGCACACGCAGACCGTGTGTGTGTGTGGGTGGGTGGATGATTATGTACACATTCGTTCCATCCCTATGACAATCTTGCAGCTAACAACTGATAGCAACGCTCGCCATCTTCATTAATTTGAACATATTTATGGCACTGACTCGGCAAGATCCTTTTTTGAGATTGAGATTGCCAGCGTGTTATCACTTGTTACTGCAATATCGGCTAAAAGATAAAAACACATTCATCATATAACAAGGGGGGTGGGAACAACTATATTTAATAGTGGGAACAGATGGATTTGATTCGCGTCCAAACTCTTCTGGTCTGGGCAACTAGAATTAAGAATACATTAGATACATAGGAACAACTTATGTGCTGAACAGTATAAAAGAATATTAAACTTCGGAAATTGATAAACAAAAAACAACTAAAAGTGAGTAAAATTGTATAAGAACTAAATAAACATGTTATTAGTGATTTGACCACAATAACATATTTATTCACATTTGGTTGAACACACATAGAAGGTTCTCTCGCTTCTAATAACATATTTATTTAATCAATTATTTTAAAATGTACGAAATACGCACGAAATAGAATACTTAAAGTGCAATATCGACACATGAAAGATGCGTTTCTTAACTTAGTTTTGTAGTATGCACACATCAACTTAACTTGGAAAACATTTTAACGTATCAATATGAGCTTGAAAACATATATAGTAATAAATACGAAAACTAACAAATTAATTCTAGTACTTCTTGAAACAAATAAGCTAAATAATAGTGATATTGGATGTTAAGTGAGAGATATCTTTGGTTAGTTAAGTCTATTTTAAAAACATTTAATGTTAAATCGCTTAGTTACGTTCAAGTCGTGTTGTGTGAGTGCGCAACATCCAATACCATCCATTATAATATTTTAGATAAAATCTTAAAAAATAAAATTCCGCTGTTAGCACAAATTTTAGGGCGAAAACCAAATTACGTTATGTTGTTTTCAGATACTGTAAAACAACGAGAAGGATGCGCGAGACATCAATCCCTCTCGTCCTCATCGCTACACACGCGGCTCTTCTTGTGCGGCGGGTACGGCGAGTCGCTCTTGCACCTGGCGTCGGGATTCGAGGAAGGACGACAATCATCATCATCATCGTCGTACCCGTCGTCGACGTCCGAGCTGTGTCGACGCGAGCGCCGATGGTGATGATGGCGGCCGCCGTATGGGTAGTAATGGAACTGAGGGTGGTGATGGTGTTGGAAGGCGGCGTAGTCACGTACCTGCAACCTGTAGTTAGGATCGGCGGCGTGCGCCGCCAAAAACGGATCGTAGTAGACGCCGCCGGCGTCAACCGGCAGCGTATTCAGCACGGGCGTGTAGCTCAGCGCGCCGGCGAGCGGCGCCGGGTGGCGGGCGAAAGCTGCAGCTGCCGCAGCGGCGGCCGGGTAGGCGGCGGCGCGCGCGCGCCCCCGCTGAATTGCCGCGACGCCCCGCAGCGCTTCCGGCCATTGGACGCACATAGGAACTACAACATCAAGCACATCATGATTAACGCCACGTCGACACTCACACGCTGAAAAACAATGGTTAAAAAAGTGTGTCTTGCGATTTTTGAATGATTTGAGTGTTTCTTGTCTGTGACTAGAAGACTATTATCCTAACCATCTAAATTATTTGATATATAAAACTATCGGCTAAACGTGAAAAATAGAGAGCTCTGATTAATCGTGGTTAACAACTTGTTGACTCGGGTTGTAATTATATCTGGTAGATATACAAGGTGTCTGTTCGTCGATTAATTTTTAGATTTCGCTTTCGTTCAATATTTCATTATAATATTAGTTTTATAAAGAAGGAAACATTAACCAGGAAGCGACAAAATGCATTTTTAACATTCAGCTGTTGTAAGGATCTCAAATGCATTTAAGCTTTGGACACGCTCAACCACAACAAATGCAAAATAATCAAAAGACTACACACGATACTTCATTAATTATAATCTTTGGTTGATTTGCATTTGATTGGCTGAGAAGTCCAAGACACGTTCGAGTATGGATTAATACAAATTTCATATGCGACTATTGTGCGACTGAAAACAATTACCAATTACACAATTGTACATTAAAGTATGTCATAAAATTACCAGTCAGTGAATCTAGTGAAACACGTGTCACAATGTTTATATATAACAAGATTATTCGTATTCATATCATAATGAAACAATAGAAATTAATAAGCGCCGCATGCTCCCTATAGTAAATATAAGTAATATCAAAAATCAAACTCAATGCGCACAGACACCCTGTATACTGTATACTGGTGTACTGAGGTGTTAGGTGTGTGTTCTCCAGCGAGAAACGTGAAACAAACAAAATCAAACGCAAGAGATAGGTAACATAAACAGTAATAATAAAAGAAAAGAGGCGCCACCGAGACGGAAAACAAAGGTTATTGTAAAGAGTCAACGTAAACTACAAATATAGAAACATTGTCAGTGTGGAACATTTGCAGATGCAATTAATCGTGCGTACCAGAGGCGCACGCGTATCAAAAATAAAACATTAAACAAAAATTTCAGCACAAAGCCGAAACACGTTCCAGTAATTCAAATCAACAGTATGTGGTAACAATAGAGAAGTATAGGAGAAAATAATAAAGTGTTTATGTACCTAGTGTCCAATATGCAAGTATTTTTTGGTGCATGTCAAATATGTTTTGTAATGTTTATAGGAAGTAAAAATGTATGGAGAGAAAAAAATCACAGTCCGAGACCGCATACCAACCTGTGGGTAATGGCGGCGGCTTCTTGGTTTGCACTCGTGCCGTGGCGTTATTCACCTGATCGTCGAATTGCGAGTGAGAGAGAAAAAAAGAAAGAGGTTGCCCCAAATTAGTTCGGTTCGTTTTTTCATAGAATCCAACAAAGCTGCCAGCGTTTGAATCCATCGAATATAATCGACATCAATAGACTACAATTTCTTTCACAAGTTGCCATGGAGTTCCCGAACAGTCTCCCAGGCCTGGTTTTAGTTTTAACACCACACTTCAGGTGGGATGCGCTATTTTAGTTAAATTTGGCAAATGTCTGTTAATTACGCGCAAACTGGCAGCTCCGTGCGAATTCCTGGCGCAAACTTCTTCGGCGAGGAAACTTTGTTCCGTCTCGTCACCGAGGAGAGTTTGCGGCTCTTAATTAATTCCCTGACAACGTACAATACTAGGCTTTTTAAATGCTAATTATAATTAGGTTGTCGCGAACGCAAATTATGCAAAACAAGTGCACGAGTGTCGCATAAAAGGCCATTGCAAGTCCTATCTTTTACAATTCTATATATTTTACTTTATTTGTAGCCTTTTATGCGATGTATGCTCGTGACAATGTAATTTATTTAGGTATTGAATGTGTAACATTTTAATACCGACATATTTCTTGTCCCGGCAACCCTTTGCAAAACAAAACATTTGCAAAATGAATAAAAAAATTGAGTTCGTTCGCTTAATTTGCGTTTTCGCGTGCAACGAACGAAGCAGGATTACCAAAGCTGTCTAGCTAGCTTCACGAAATTGCATAATTCCATGATTAATTGTGGCGTTGATAAATGATGCATTTCCTCGTTTGACTCAAGTAGTTAATCCTGTTTCATTGTTATCCTTAACGTCTAAGTTGCTTAAGGTTATCAAGGGGTAGTCTAGGTGTCTGTAAACCACATACAAACCATAAAATAACAGATTATTAAAATTATAAATTAAATTAGAATTTAATTTCCATCTTGAAGTTCAAGTCTGTTATTTTATGTTTGATTTATGATGTAAAAGGATTTAAGAACAGGGATTAAGGGAGTTGAGAATTTCCAAAATCTGTTCGAAAAATGTTCTCCACCTCGTGTAAAAACCCCGATTTTGTTGCAATCAATGCCCAATTTGTCAAATCACCCTTAATCACAGCTGCAGTTCCTTCAGCCGGCAGGATTTGCTGCTCGTCTTTCTCCATAACTGTGTGGTTTACGGACACCGGTAGGAAAAAGATGTCGGGAAACGGTGGTTGAAAATTCGTATCTCTTTTTTCTGATCGGAGGGTGATTGGTATCGGTGTTGGTGGTGATGGTGGTTGGTGCGACGCCATCTCCTGCTCTCCGATCGTTACCCACTTACCTCAGCGGTCGACGCGAGGCTCTTGCGTGCGCGCGCGTGTGACGCGGGTTGAGAGGACGGTGGTGGTTTGTTCGGGGGTTGTGGACAACTACACACCGTCAGCACCAATCAATCTCGCACCACGCGCACACACCCCCCAACGCACACACGCACTGAATGTGCGCGGGTGTGGTGTGCAAAGCGCGCGGGCTCGTGTGTGTGGGCTTAATTTTTGTCAAGCTTTGTCATTTTTTCGACTTCCGCCTGGGAGAGACATAGAGAATCGGTAAACAGTGTGGTGCTCGGTGATGTTTTTTTTTTGCTTTGTTTTTTAAAATTTCGTGTGTTTGGGCAAAATAACGTCAAAACACAACACGTGTGAAGCACAGGTAATAATTAGCATCAAATCGCCGGTTGGCTAGTTGGTTGGTAGTAGATCGTCGGTCGTGTCGTCGTCTCGGGTTCATGTACGAGTGGGGTGGAGGCGGCAAATTGTTAGTCACTTAGATACGATAGTAATAATAAAAAGAAGCCAGCGCAAGCCACACGAGGGAGGTTGTTTTGACCTTGTTTTACCAAGGGGGTGGTGTATTCTGTGTGTAGTTAAGATGCAGTTCTCAGCAACAAAATTTCGACTCAATTGATAAATTTTGGTTTTCTCTTTCCACAGATTGAACCTGCTTTCTGGCATCGTCCTCTGTTTTTCTGGGGTCCTTAAACTCGTTCGTCTTTTTTGTTTTGTTCTCGATGGGGTTCTTCAGGGGGGAGATTTTGCGGTGGTCGGTGGTGGGTATTTGTCGAAAGGGAAGAGCGGGATATGTTTTCGTAATAATAACAATAATAATATATAATAATAATAATAAACGAGAGAATTCATGCACACCTCTATCTTTCTTCCCTCAATAACGGAGCCGTGAAGTCGGTCTCGTGCGCGGTCCGCATCAGCACTATTTGCGAATGTTACAAAACCGAACCCCTGCATGCAGACAGACAAAGACATGCATTAAAACAGCGTGCAAATGACATGATGACATAGTTACGTTAGACGTCATGCGTCTAGAAGCTCCGTTACGTTAGAACTACTACACTGTTAAAGCTTCATATCATTCCATATGTATAATATTTATAATTTATTCTCATCTCGACAATTATATCGGCTCGATTTTCGTTCGTTGCGAAAAAGTTTACTCTCACTAAGTCAGCAGTATCAGAGCTCTATTAGTGAACGTCTCATCTTCAAACAGTCAATATTTTTGCTCAAATTTCTTTACTTTTTTCTGTTCATTTGCCCCGATGTGCAACAAAATATAAGAATAAAATTCTATTTACATAGATGGTGGTGACCCTAATTTTCTGAGTTTTAATTCGTGAATATGGTGGAGGGCGCTCCCGCAAAGTGTCGGTGTTTTGCCAAAAAGTACAGCAGTAAAATGCCAAAAAAGAACAACAAAAGCGTTCGCTACAACGTGGCAGCACACACTTCTTCGTCGGAGTGTTTTCGGCCCGCCTTTGGCCCCAAAACGCGCCCGCGCCGAGGATTAATACATACATCTACTAGAATAGTACTAGCAAGAGATTACATGATGCCAAACATTCAGTCAGAACATTCAATAATCGGCCCATCATTGTCATATCATCATAATCATCACCAATCGCCATAATCATGACCAGGAGAATCGGTAGTCAAATTCAATTCAAATCGCAAAGTCAAAAAGGTCAACAAAACCAAATCAAATGCAATGTATCAAGTTTAAGATCAAGTATGCTGTTTGTTTACTTAATGATTTTACATTTAAAATTTACCTACATAAATCTAATTCATTATTTATTCTTTTGTTCAAAATTTGGTGTAGTTTTTGCATGTGTGATCGTGTTTTGGTTATTTATAGCAATTCCAAATATCAAAAATCAAACAAAAAGATATAGAAAGTAGTCAAGACACTTGTATCGGCAATGAAGAGTTAACGAAAATTAAAAACAAAAGAGATTCCAACGCAAGTTTGGTAACTACGTCTGTGTGAACACACCGTGAGTCAAAAACTAAAACTAATCAAGTAGCCGTCCATTTATCAATCACAATAAATGGGTAAATATAGCAGCCAGATCAATGTAAATACCATAACACAAAGTCAAAAATTAATATCCAAAAACAAACACCCCGCGCATTTCCTGATAGGTCTCTCAAACGACGCATGTTGCAAATTTCAAACGTTCGCAAATGCACCACCCTCAGTATCAGCAGCAAATTCGTTCAAGAAACTTTTTTATTTTATTTAATGATTCATTAATAACACAAGTTGACTTGGGTACAAACTCAATTAAGCATTCAATTTGTAACGTCAAGATAACTTCGGCTAAAAGTTTCGCACGAGAAATTAGCAAGTTGCCAACTCACTTCTTCGACAAAGTTTCGATTAATATAGTTAAATGTTAAATTATTGAATCCTGGAGGCTTACTGGGGTAGCGCACGTGCGAGACGCCGAAAAGGGTGTAAAGTACGTGTGAACAAAAACAATCTGCGGCACAAAATCGTTCTCGTGTGTGTGGGGGTGGCGGCAAAAGTTTTATATATATAAATATAAGTGTGTCAACTCGAGTATATATAATATATATTTTGTTGTAAACAGCCAGGGAACGGTGCTTCACCACATTTAATATCAAACTACAACTAATGTAAGCGGAAAATCAACATATCTTTCATATCGGTATCAATAAGTAGAGTATCAATAATTAATAAGAGAGATGAAATTAATAAATAATGAGCAGAGATGAAACGTAAATTTTGGGAGTAAGTGAATCGAAATCAATATTATGCATCGATCGGATAAAGTGTTTTATCAAAAACGTTTGCTTGAATCATTTATTGCACCCGAGGGAGAGAAAATATTGTAATGTACAAAGCGTTTGGAAAATTTTATTAATCATTAACGGGTTACGTCCATGATTTTTTTGTTTAAATTTAGTTTAAATTTAAATTTTGTTCAAATTTCTAAACTCGAAGAATATACATATAGATGTAACCCTTTAATAAGTAGAGTGAAAAATAAACCGAAAACGAGAACATAAAAGTGAGAGGCGATAATACCCGTCCTTCTGATTACATTTTGATTATTGAAAGTTATTTGTGATAAGCAAATATTGACGAGTATTAAAAGTGGCGAACCCCCAATAATCTTGATGAGTTGAAATTCGGAAATTCCATCGAACCGTAATAAAAGCAACAAATGAACGCTCGGCAGTAAAGAAAGAGAAAATTCCCATTTCATTTGATATATAATCATCAAGTCCGAATTAGAATGATTAGAACACTAGTATTTATTTATTGTATCTTGCAAAGAAATATGCGGGGTTAATTATATTTTATATTTTCTGTATTTGCTTTACTTGTGGAAATTAAATTATGAAAATAAAACAAAACTTGGCGCCCGACTTCGCTTGCGTTCTTTGGAATGAATGTGCTCGTCATCGGAGTTCAAGGCGGGCCTTTTCGCACGCGAAAGGCTTTTCTTTATCAAATTCAAATCGCAGCATTAATGCTGCATTAAAATCAAAGTGATTCGATTCGATTTTAGTTTTCTCTGCCTGTCGATTCAAGATTCGTTAAGTGCAGCAGGTATCAAGTCGCAGATTGATTATTTTCATAATTCAATAGGGTTCTTGTCATGTCGAAAATTTGGTACATAAGAGATTGTAAAGAAATTGTGCATACCTTTGATCCGCGTTCGTTAAATATAATTTCCACATCTAAAATGGAGCCAAATTGCTGCAAAAAGAAGAATATTTAGTAATTGTGATATATCGGGATTAAAAGATTAAACTTACCCCAAACATAGCTCTAAGATCAGGATCTCTAAACCTAAACGGAATGTTTGAGACATGTAGTCGCTTCGGCTCGCTCTTGATATTGGAGTTTGGCGTGCCCGGCAAGATAGACTCTCCCGCGGCAACCTCCGCTGCTCCTTGAGTCTGTTGCGCTCCTGCTGGCTGTGTCGAAGGTTGCGCCTCTGTCTCCGCCTGCTGCTGGGCGGCCACAGCTGCAGCTGCAGCCGCTGCCGCCGCCTGCTGCTGTTGCGCGGCGACGACGGCAGCTGGCTGTTGCGCTTCGAACTGCTGCCGCGCCGGGCTGCCAAGCGCTGGCTGCTGTTGTTCCACTGCCGCAGCGGCAGGCTGTGGTGGAGGCGGCGAGAATGGCGGGCCGGTTGCGGCCGCTTGTGGTGGCGGTAGAAGCGGCTCGTGCTTTACCTCAACGGCCGTCTTCACGTCGCCATTCTGCGCCGGAAAACCGGCCGGAGCCGCCGCTCCGAACGGGGTTGTCATACCCGTTTGCACCATGTGCTACAACAGAAAAATACCAAAACATGTTAGTAAAAATAGCACACCAACGGGAAACATCAATCGATCAACACTGCACAAAATTTACATATCACGTGCCTAGCGAGTGGAAAACAAATTTCGGAATGTTGGGCAATATCGAGATGCCAAAAATCAAAATGGCCGTCGCTAGTTGTGACTAGAGATCATCGGCTGCGACGAAAATGCGGGCATCGCAGCACCAGCATGTCTAATATTTATTTCATTACGCGGAGTAATTCCATAAATTCATAAAACCTGTATTAGTTCCGCCATCCTCGTCTTCGTCAGCGCACGTTCGTACACAACGCGCACAAAATATTCCACATACGAATCACACAATCACGCTACCGCCCAATACAATATTCACAAGATATGCACAATAAGTAAAATTGAAATATTTCTAATATTAATTTAATTACAAAATAATTGCCGGCTTTTTAAACAAAATGAACTTGCTAATATAAAATATGAAACATTTTTAAAACTAGTAGAACGTCGTGTACAGAATCGCGCACCGAACACAGCAATCATCAGGGAGAGACCCGACCCGCGCCATATTCGTATCGCGTCTCAAGTCAAACTCAAGAGTTTCAGAGCACCGCAGTTCAACGACTGAATGCACGCCGAATAACGACGCAAATCCGCCATTTTGACGTTATTAATTGAACTCTATTAAAAGTTTTAGCAATGAACCCGTTTAAACAAACGCCGAATTGTGTTAAACTTATGTTACCGAACAAAAAACACAAACCGCCATTATGTCAACTGTGCAACTGTTGCAAAGCGCGCACATTTTACATCTGAATGGAGTATTTGCGGTTTGGTTATAAATAATGAACAATTGCGGTCGAAATTCCATTGAAGTCCGCCTGAAACGAGAGTAAATTGGCGGCCAGCGGTTGGTCATACCCGCCGCTCATAAACTATTTGTATTTTTAGATATGTGTGTAAGTGATTCGTGTGTGCAGACGAAATTCAAGCTGCTCGCAATACATTGCAATGTGAGAGCGAAATAAAATATCGAACGAGTAGTTGTTGGCAGTCCGGTCGATCGATGAGCTGGTGTACTTTTTGTTAATGTTAATGTATTTCGGGATGCGTTTGGCAGATGCCCATATCAATAAACGCGCGCGATCGCGAGTAGAAACATTCGTTCCGATGACTCTATCGAGAAACGATCGTAAAACAGAAATAACCCAAAAACAATCAACTAAAAAACGAAACACAATTAAATATATCACAAAACACCAATGCCAGGTATTGAAATTGCTTTATTGTGGGCATGCTTTAAGCCACTTATCGTTTTCAAGTTCTAACATCAATATGAAATCAATGAAAACGTTTATTTTTTTATTTTATTCATGGAAAAACACTAAAATTGACGCAGTGATATTTTTCCTAGACACGTATCACATTTGTTTCGATATTTTTTCTTTGCCAGCAGTGATAATGCGCATCGCTCAATCACAATTGATAAACAATCATTGCTTTCGATGGTTGGCCATGAATGCTGCTGCCTTCAAGCTGTTTCCCTATGGCTTGTGCCGCCGCGGTTCACTTGGACACATTGTAAATGTTTATTCGCTCCCGAGTGTTGTATTTATAAATGGGTTCGATTTGTCGGCTTTGTGCGTTGCGAGCGTTTTATCTGGGTCGTTAGTGTTAAAGGGCATCGGAATTGCTGCTCTACACCGATATTATTACATTTATTAGACGGATCGAATGCTTTAAAAATATGTTCCAAGAAATATTAGTATAAAATACCACGAATTTAAATTAATAAAATTGTACGCATGTCGTCCATCTAAATTAAGCTATTTTCGACGTGCGCAATTATTTATTGCAATTGGCGTTTGTTCGCATACGCCGTAACGATTAACGTCATGCGTCGCATAAATAAATGCCAGTTAGCCGAGCGCGCTATGTGGACGAAAGCGATTTTTTTACGCAGCACACATCGCAGATTGATTCGCCGCCATGATGATGTTCATGCAAATTGCAATCCGCGGGCGACGCAACAAACACCAACAAAAACAATTGATTAGTCATTCAATTCATCATTGCATGATCATGTCATACACGGTGTGGTGCAACAGCACTCTGAGGTATGGGAGTGCATCGCATATTTTTGCACCTTATAATTTGCATATTCAGCGATTTTAATTTGCAATTTAAATTCCAAATAGATAAAAAACGATTTTCCAACGATATGACTTTGACAAACAACGATTGCTCAAAAGAATGGCATAACAATTCATAATAATGGCCACAACTTTCGGAAACTTCAACAACTTCAATCATTTAAAAAACTTCTCATCCGACATAATTTATTATATCTACGCTGTGGTTTAATTTACGATTAGTTTCATGAACTTTTAGAAGCTTATTTACATTCATACGCCATATAAATTTAACTCTGGATCTCTCAGCATGCTAAGCGTCTCATTTCTGCATAAAACTCGCAAATAAAATGCGTTTTTCATCATCTAAGATTAGCTCTCTGCGCATTGTTAGCTGAACACAAATTCGCAATGCGATTTGTCTCTCTGCGAGAATCTGCATTCGCAAGAGTAGCTGTCAGCGTGCAGTGCGTATGTATTTGCATAGTGTGGTGGTGGTGCTCGGTAATGAATACCACTTCTCCCAAGAGTGTACAGTATTCATGAAAGCTCCACCAACATCATGCGAATGCAAGTTGCGAGCCAAAGCAACGCAAATAATAAACAAGTGTAGATGAATGCAAACGCAATGCCAAGTTGAAGAGGATAAAATTAAAACAGTTTTTGTTGCTTTTGCATTTACTACACTCGCGCGCTGTTTGGTTCGCAGCTCATCAAGAGCAGCAGACTACAAGAGCGCAAACTGTGTGCGATTCTTTAGCCAGCGAGGATCAGCTCTCCTCGTTAAGCATGGTTGAATTTTCATTTTGGAATTTTGACTCGACTCCTAGCCTCGTTTTTCTTTTTCGTTTGGCAGCAGACTGAAGATTAAAGTCTGAAAAATGCCAGTAATCCCGTATTGGAGCTGTAGGCTCAAAGCATCCTGCGGATGTTTCTTCCTCTCTTATTTTTAGACTAACAAGTCTATTTAAATAATTTATTTTCTATCGTAAGTTACAGTGTAATATAGACGTACAAATTTATTTTTACTCGAAATAGAATTTCTAGAGTTGTCTGGTTTATTTGTGTTTCTGAGATTTCGCGAATTTGTTAAAGACGCTCGCGTGCTAATTTGAAACAAATTAAATTCACAGTCCTCATCCTGACAAAGCCTGCAACCGCGCTCGCAACTACCGAGAAATTGGGTACAATAATGAGAAATTGGAATTACAGCCTAACTGAGCGAGTGCTGGCGACAAACATGGTGCAAATGAAACAAAATTAATTAATTTTCGTTTTCAAGATTAAATTATTTCAGATATTAAATTTACACCGGATATTATTTACATTAGACTCTTCCCAAGATTGAAGAAAAATAGGCTCAGTATAATTAAATTTTAAAAATCACAAGAAGACGATGTAAAATATTTAAAATTAATTTATAATTTGCACTTGGTAAAACGCTGAAAGCAGGAGAATTTTGTACCCGGCGTATTTTTATTTTTAATCAAGAAAGCCCACGAACAATGGTCGCCCAACGTTCGCGTCCAAGACGTGATGAAGCGGAGAAAATTGAAAATTTGCGTCCTATTTGCGCGTCGGCTCTCGACGCCATGCGACGGAAGACAATATAAACGTCGAGTCGACGGACACTTAAATTTTTATTGAAGTCCTGAAGTTCACATTTTCAACCGCTTTCCTTTTTCGCCCTTTCGCGTACTTTGCAGCAAAAGCAACCACCAACTTTCAGCTGCGTTTCTCAAGAGTGTGTTTGAGTTTGTGTGCACGTTGTGTGCATTTTTGCAAAGGTATCGATCGGCTAGCACTAGCAGAAAAGTGTCGTCCTAGAAAACGCTAGACCTCAAAAAAAAACCGAGACACGAAAAACACACAAAAGTAATTCGAGATCTAAATATTTCATGCATGACCGATTGCAATCTCGAATTCTGATCCCCAAACACCCTTGATGTGTGAGCATAAAGAATTTAGCTAGAAGGTAAAGAACGCAAAAATTGAAAAAAGGCGAATCTTTAACGAAAAGCCAAAGCAAAAATTCAAGAGGAAGAAAAATGAAAAATACAAGAAAAAACCAAGCAAGAGTAAAGGCACGTCAAGATGTACAAAGAAGGATTTTCCCAGAATGATCCTGAAAGGTCGAATTACAAAGCAGAAAGCGTGAAGGCAACCTGAAGCGTATTGCAACTATCAAATGCGCATATAAAATGAAAATTTTACAAATATTTCTTAAATCACAATAAAAGAAGCTTCATAACTTAAGGGTTCAACTAATCATATTTACTAATCAATATAATTACCTAAAGTGATTGGATATGCTTATCCGGACCGTAGAGAGCTTACACCTCGACTAATCATATTATCCAATCTAAGTTGTAACAGTTGATAACTTGATAGCTGATAAAGATAGTACGAATAGGAAAATCCAATTTGTTCGAATGTGCGCTCGCCCTTTACCTGCAGGACATTTTCGAATCCGAAACAAACTAAGTTACAAATGCATCCAATTGGCCGGAAGTACCAAACGCTAATAATCCACGCTAACTTCACAAAAAAGGGAGCAGACGCATCAAACGTCAATTAGAGTTGTACAAATTGGATTGGAAACAACCCCAACAAAAAATGATACACAAAAAAACCTGAATTTAAAGCAATTTGTATTCGAATACTACCTAAATCGCTACAATTAAGCAGTAATGTGATTCCAAATAACAAAATAAAACCGTAGGTCGTTTAAAGTACATTTCAACATGCTGTAAATGTCATGTGCAAATGTTTTCATTCATTTCCGTATTTAACGTAGCTGATAGATACAAACAAATAAGCGATATCAATGTTTTCATGAATATTACAAACACAAAGCTGTTT